CTTTGCAACGTTGGTTTGAATACGTGCATTTTTAAATTAAGTTAGACTAATAATTATTAATTAATGATAATTTGTTGTATTTCCGTAAATAAAAATATTGGACAATCATTTTCTCTAATTATGATTATAATATAGAATGATTTTTTTACCCCGATATTAGTGAGTAATAGTAATAAAATTAATTTTATAGTATTGCACAGTGCCAGAAAAATAATAAATTAATTTCAAAGCATTTGAGATAAAGAGAATGAATCATTAAGAATTATTTATAAACCATTTTTTACAAAAAAATAACGATTGAAAAACATCATCTAATATAGTACTATTGTATTCTAGTTTTGTCAGCTTAGCAAATCATGTATTGTTTTAAAGTAAGGACAAATTATTTGGCGAAATATAAATTTTAATAAAAGCTTGTTGTAATTTTTTAGAGCTCTTAGCATGTCTGCTTTTAATAATGATTCCATCACAGCGTGAATAATGGGCCAAAGAAGATGAGGATTAACAACAATCTGACAGCTACTAGATTATTATAAAAATCTTTCTTTTAAAATAAATGTATTCGCTAATTAATGTAAACCATTTTTCGAGGGGGGTAGATTTTTCAAAATATATCCTAACTCTACGGGGTTTTACATGCTATAATATTCCTTAAACAATATAATTATAGATCGAGTCATCAATTAGCCCGGTTTGAGAAATATAAGTGTGGGAAGGCAAAATATTTTTTAAATTTTTTTTGTAATCTGTAAGTCACACGTGTGGCATGTTTGATCGCAATAAAATTTTTAATATTGCATTCTTATGTTTCCTTTGCTGTTTTGTTTAACCCACCTTAGTAGTATCTCAAAACCCTAGATCAGTGCTCCTTCGTCTCACTTTAAGTCAACCCGCTATTGTTTTTTTTCTCTTTAAACAACCTTTTTTGCCCAAACTCTAAACATAACCTCTTTATTAAAGACTCCCTTTGCAGTTACTTTTCGTGTGGCCTCTTGGTGCACCTCATTTATTTTCAGGCACTTCCTAAGTTATTCGAGACCGCATTTTCTTCAGTATTGACCTCCTTTATCACCGTCAAAGGTGAAACGTTTTTCAGAATATGCAACCAATTGCATCCCTTGAATACATAATACACCCGTTAGGTAATTCATACTACTGTTTTTGTTTAATTGGGATTTGAGTTTGGTCGAACAGAAAAGAGACCGGCCAATGTAAGAGGTAACTGGCATCAGTTATACAGTCCACTGAAGTAAAAGTTACCAAAACCATGAAATAAATTGTTAGTTAAAGTTTATGAGCAAAACCGTGTAATAAATTGTTAGTTAAATTTATTACATCAAAAAATTATTCCGATATTTTGATCAATTTTCCACCTAAAACTAATGAATTTTTGATCTCGGTGAATTTGGTTTATATTAAAATAAGTATGTTGTAATTAATAGAACGACAATAATACATGTAATTTGAATAAAAAAATCAGTGTCCGGTTCTTTTGTCTTCGACTGTACTCGATACTACCCGATGAAAATCTGAACAGTGGGGATCGCGTAGCGTAGAGTAGGGTAGCGTTGCGTGGCATCTGGCAGATGTGCACGGGGGTAATACTTATTGAAAATTGGACTTGCGTCGGGTAGGATCGGGTAGCGTCGCATAGCGTTGCACCGGGTGTGTTCCCGGCTATAGTATGTGCTGCGAGTCGCATTCTAAGGTAGGAAAAACTACCCGGAGGCCTTAACCACTTCGCCACCGCGGTTCCAATGTGTATATTTGTTGTTTACTGTGTATTTTCATTTTTGCTTGTATTTATACATGTAGTTGTGAAGTAAAAGAAATAAAATAATGGGCAACCATAGACTTATAAATTATAACTTATATGTTATATAATATAAAGTTTAGTTATTAATTTATTTACAATATAATTAATAAATAAATTAAAATAATATTTTAATATGATTTTGAAAATTTTTAAATTTATGAATGATAAGATCAATTAAATTAAATTAATTTATATTATGTCATATAATTATAAATGGATCATGACAAAATTTACCCTTTCAATTTAAATTTGTCTTTTTCAAAAACAGAAAGTAGCATTATTTACCGCATTTATCTTATTTCTTTATTTGGTCATTACTATTCATTTTGACCGGCCTATCTTTGGTGATTTAGGTTTGTATGAAGAATATTCAGGGAAGATAGGTAGTTCACAATGATAGGTAACGACAAAAGAAAAAGTCCGTCTCCCATTTTTACCTCATGAAGAAATCTCACAATTTCTTTCTTTATGTTGAAAGTATTGAAAAAACAATCAAAATTTGTACTGTCATGACAAGATTGTGGTCATAACTGAATCTACAAACTTTAATCAAATTAATTAGGTTAATATTAAACCCGGTGTTAATATTTACGATGATATCAATTAAAGTTGGTATGACTGAGGTAGTATAGAGACTTAAGCTTTTTAATTATTTAAACATCTACGCTGAAGGGATCTGCTGTGTTCTTGTATTAACCTGCTTTTTTTCCGAGGCGGAAATAATTAAAATTAGCCCCTAAAAAGTATACAAACTTGTTAATGACCGGTCAGACGTGATGTGATTTGATGAAAAAGGGAAGAACAAATTGTTTTAAAATATAAATGGACGAAACACATTAATGAACAAGCGATTTTTAACAGAATGCTTCAGTTCTTCAGTTTGAAAAAAAAATATTCGAAGGTTCCAAAACTAATTAATATTACTATTATAAATACACTATCTTTCCGGCACTCGTAGTGTAAACATCAGTTTAAAAGGATTGCAACTACTGTGTTTATTTTTGCGTTTATCTTTTAGAATTTTCCTTGTTTTCTCTTTTTTTCTCTTCTTCTAATATTTTTCCTTATCATTGATCATAAGAATTTTTTTTCCTTTTCATCATTTCGTTAATTATGTTTGTGTTTGATTTCACCTTAATTCACGTAAGTAGAAAATTTTCCTTTTTCTCCTTCGTTCTTCGAGGAAAAACAACCTCGATTTTATGTTTTTCATACACTATATATTAGATAAATTGCCCTTTAAGGAGGTAATTATTTTAATTTTTACATTTAAATAAAATAAACTAACATGACTGAAGCAAATGCAGGAAATAACCCGCTTATCTAGCATCCAAAATGACAAATGAGTGATTTTTTTTCCGATACGAAATTGACGGTAATCATAAACATCCTCTGTCTCCATCTACAGATACTGGACAAAATCAACCTAAAAAAATGAATCTTTCTGCTTCGAACAAAACAGTGGAAATCCCTTTTAATTTTCCACTATTTTTAATTGCCCAGAATCAATTCCGAATCGCTGAAAACTTTGTCATCATTTATCTTAAATCGCATGATAAATTCTTAAGCTGGTTCCACTAGCTGAACCGCTGAGTAACCTGTACAGAACAATTCCATCATCTCGGTGTTAATAAATCCTGACGATATAAAGTCTGTTTTGAAACTTACAATAATTGAAATTTGGTACACTCTGTGGAAACAAACCACTTCCAACAAATCACAAAATATAAACTTAACTTAAACTTTTAGAATCATCCTTCCAAAATTTCAGGCGTGTTGAGTTCTTACTAGGTCGACTACGTATAGAGGACAAAAATATGACCCATAAGCACCTCACGGAAAAATCTATACCACTAACATGCCTTTGTGGTGATCAATTAGATGTTTTACACATACTTCCTCCTCCTTGTTTCATGAGGTGGACTCATTACCCCAAAATCCCCTGTGCTATAAAAGAAATATTAGGGAATGAAAATTGATCAAATCGTTGAAAGTCTAAAAATGAGAAATCTCTTTAAACTTATATAAATTTCCAAAAAAGTTATGGCTGTGTACTTCCTGTAGGCAGGGGTGGACGGTTTTGCTTCCCTCGTCTGGTGGGGGGGTTTTCATTTCTGGGAAACTTGTTTCTAATTTAAGCCAGAATGGGCAGTCAGCTCGGAGGGTCTTACTGGTATAGCACACAGACAGACCCTCAGCCAAGCCTCAGTAACTTAAGTTAAAACCTGGGAGTACAATCACATCCGGTACAGGGCAGGTTTTCCTGGGGTTTACTTCTCGCTTGGGGGGGGGGTTTGTCGCGTTGACGTCTTCACTCTTCTGGAGGAGCCCAGTCCTGGAAATTATAGCACGGAAAAAAGAATTGTCTGAAGAAAGGCGATATCACTGGGAGTACAAAGGCGATAATAAACAAAAACCTATAAAGCACTATTATAATAGAAGATCTGATTATTATGAAAACCTTATTATTATATTCACTAGTTTTCGTGGTCGGCTTGACCAATTAATATCTTTCAATTAATTAAGGTTTTTAGTTGAGATAAAAAAGTCAGTGTCGCTTGGCTTGGAACCCACGGCCTTCGGCTTGACACGTCGCTAGTCTACCACTTGACCTATCGTGACTTGAAGTCACGGTTCGAGTCCCGCTCGCGACACTGACTTTTTATCTCAACTAAAAACCTTAATAAATTGAAACTTATTATTATACATGTAAATCATAAAGCCAAAATCACTGTAATAGAATAAAATAAAAAATTTCGTGTATACCTTGAAGATACAGATAATTATGTCAGAACTGACTTATTTTTGGGTTAATTTAAAATGGACTTGTCAGAATGTGTGCATATAATCCAAATTTGATCTTGTTAAAATGAAATGAAGATAGTAATAGTTTTTTAAATTTCTTGTAACAAATTATTTAATTCAAATCACTAATGTTAAAGTATGAATTCAGGAAGGAAAATCAAATCATCCAATAGCGCAAACTAACCGTTTAACTTTTGTTTCAAAGAAATGATGTACTACCAAGATGGTTCAATCATAATATAATAAAAATCGAGAGGAATAAACGGCTTTCATAAAATCATCCTTTTATCTCTTTTATTAAAATTAATGTTTAATATGTTTTAACATTTACTGTGCTGATCATATAAAAACTACAAAAAATTGAGAATTATTTTTTTACCTATTTCACATCCCAAACCAGCTTATGAAGACCACCTGTAAACATCAGAATAACTTTTAGATGAAATTATAAGAATTTTTGAAATAAAAACAATTACAGTTTTATTTATCAAACGAATCAAAATTTTCAAAACAAACTGAATGAAATGTATGCTTAATATATTACAATTAATTAAGGNATTAACCGTTATAATTTTTAATTTATGATAAACTGTATTTTTATTAAAGCAATACTTTTTTACAAACTTTAATATTAAAAAAAACATTGTACGTTATAAAGTACGCCCAAAATTGATAGCATTATTTTTAATCTAGTATCAGTAATGATACTTCGATGTGGGTAAATCTAAGGTAAACACTTGTTACTCTCTATCACTCGAGTTAAGATACGAGGCCTTTGCCGTTCCAATCGGTGAAGTACGGAAGATTACAGAGTTGGGTTACTAAGGGGTTGGCATGACCAGTAAGGAGTGGTAATTGTTGTATCTTGATTTGATGGAGTGGGAAACATAAGGGACGTTGAGGCCATGGTGAAAGGTATGATTGGACACATAGAAAGGAACCATTATAACGCAACTGGAAGGATTGGACCTTTGGATTGATATTTTTTACTGATATTTTTTATAATCTTTTCGGCCTTCCTCGTCTTTCACAACGATGTCATTGGGGCTGCAATGGTGAGTTTATGGGCAGCAAATTTTATTACAACGGTCAGTGCAAGGAGTTAACGCCTCGCAATTTATGATTGTGTGAGGGGTGAATTATAAAAGTCGTTTAACTTTATTTGTTGTTTGTTTTTGTTTTCTTCGGCTGCCATTAGAGTATGACTGCCATCACGCGACTGACCTATATAACTGGATATAAACCGGTCTTCTAACAACTTTTCTCCAGCCTCTTGTTTTTTATATACTCTCCCTCCGAAACACAGCTTTCCGGGCTTTTCCCCAACTTTGGGCTACATCTGCTTAATAAAAGAATTACTCGCTAAAGTCCGCCGGTTTGTAATCAGCGTTCCATTAGGGCGGTGCAACTTCTCTTTGATACAGACCGCCGGCCGGAAAAATCAAACTTTTCCAATCAACGTTTCAGTTTATTCTGATAATCTCTTCTGTATGCGTGGAAAGGGGAAGACAATTTTTACGAGAGGGGTACTTGAATGTTGCAGAATCAACGTGAAACGATACGTCTTTCCCCCATTCAAATCACATGAAACCGACAAGTTTTGAAATTAATTCGCACCCTCTTTAATAAGAAACATTAAGGCAACACTCTCGTTTAATTAAACCCGGGACATTTAAACGATCCGTTGTATCATAAAAAACAAGTTTCCACCCAGAATTTCAGCATTTAAATTTACATAAAATAACTTAAAGTCTTTATTTAACGCAAATATGTAACATTTGTTCTAGTAAATATTATAAATAATTAACCCTTGATTAATTGAAATACTCTTTTTCGATTTCCTGGTCGGTAAATCAATTTTATGAAAGTATTAATCGACCTTCATTGTTGTAATAAGTATAAGTGTCATTAATAATGCAACAATAGTATTTACTTGAGAAGCCTTTGCGCGTCAAAAGCACGATTTGTAGATGGCCCCCCGAGAACCTGAGCCGGAAATAAGGAATCGTCCTTACGCGATTAAGAATAGGCCATACGCGGTTGATACACGGGCACCTGCTCTTGGGCCAAAGCTCCTTCCCTTATGCAGAGAAAGGTTGCTCGATGTGTCCCACATACTGGAAACATGTCATGGCTTGGCTCCCTATAGGGAGCGTGTAGGCATGCGATCCAATCTGAAAATGGTACTCGAGCAATGTAGCGAGTTTCAGAGTCCCCTGTTCCGCTTTTTAGGGGAAAATGGTTTTTTTTATTGTATATAATATGTCTTATGTGTTGTGTGTCTATATGTTTTGTCTGAGTGCATGTATTTATTAGCGTGAATGGCGAGGGGTGAGGGTGAAATATAACGTCATTATCGCCCCTCGAACGTTGAGAGCGTAAGAGTGTGTGTTCGGGGTCGATGGCGTAATATTTATAAAAGTACTCCATCGACCCCAATCTAGATTAGTTTGAGTACCGGGTCGGTGGAGGAAAATTATGTACTCCACCGACCAAACGGATTGAGTGTACTGTATGGATGTATTTATGTGTATGAATGTATTTATTTATATGAATGTATTGTTTGAAGCGTAAATAGAATATAAACTTCGTTGGGGGCTGAAATGAACTAGATGTCGGAAGCCCAAAAAAAAAAAAAATAGTATTTACTAATCAAAACAATTTGATTCTATGCGTGGAAAAGGGAAAAATATGCAAGAGAGGAAAACGTGAGGTCAAGTAGCAGCAAAAACATGATTTAATAACCGGGCAGCGTCAGTAGGCCAGGTCGGTGGAGAACCTTTCGCATATCGAGAGCCTCGGAGGATCTGACTAGTAAAAGAAGTATCATCCTCACCCGATTAAGAATAGGCCATGAGAGGCTGACACTTACTTTTAGGCCAAAGCCCGCTTATTAGTCCGGCGTGCAGGTTGCTCGATGGGACCCATTTACAGTTGAAGGATACAATTCGTTGTCACCATATTGACAGCACGTAGCAATGCCACCCGGTAAGAGAACTATGCTTGAGCAGTGAGTATCTGGGTTTCCTGTTCCCATTTTTAAAGGAAACAAGGATTTTTGCTGTACATAATACTTTACAGATATCTTGCGTTTCTTGGTGTATGTTAGAATGATTGTATTTATTAGCGTGAATGTCGAGTGGGATGAAGGAATATTGACTACCCCATTGACCTTCAATAAGGTTAGTTATACAATAGGTGTAAAGGGGTGTAATACATGAAGGAATACATACCACCCTATCTGAGTGAATGGTCTATAAATAAGAAAGAATGTATTTACCAGTGAGTGAGAGTGTGAACAGGTTTGGTTTGAAGAACTCTAAGCCCGGACCGGCCACACCTTGTGTGATTCTGGAGTTGTTTCAGCAATGTAACTTCCAAAAGTTGGAATTGCCGCGGACATCGGTTAATATGTACCTAGTACATCCGTGTGCAGAATTGTACAAATGAATAATCAAAACTAATAATAATATCCAATTTCTTGTTGCCGGAGGAATAGCTTAGATAATGCAAGTTTTTTCCTATCTTTGGATAATTTATCTTTGGTTCTGTCATAGGGCACTATAATTATTGAAAATTTTAACTACTTTCACATAAGCTTTGGTGTCACCTTGATAGTGATTATATCCCAATAGTGCCGAAGCTACTACATGCAGTGAGTGGGTATGATAATTTATGAAATTGATCGAAAAGTAGTAATATACGTAATGTGTGGTGATTAGTGACCGTTAGTCGATGATTATTAAGAAATCGTGAGATGCGGTTTGGTGTAACGTAGGTTTAGAAAAAAAAATTTCTTTATCGTGCCAGCGTTTCGATCTTTATTGAGATCATCTTCAGGGCTAAGTGTTTGTTTTCTGTGTAATTGTGCCATTCTTTCGTGTCGTGTTCAGAGTGCCCTCTGGACTTCTATTTGGGCTTTCTGAAACCTAGATCACACCAGACCAAATATCACGATTTCTGAATAATATACGTAATGTATTAATCAAAAAGATTTGTTCTGACGTTCGAATTAAACAAAAAAGAACCTTCTGCAGATTAAAACCACACTTACAATCAAGCACATAAACACAAACGTCAGCGTGCACAAAGAAAATAACGCGAGCGTGCACATACAAATTATACATATTACAGTAGATTAAAAACGGTTAAGTGATGATAGTATTCTAAATTCGGTTTGCTGTATTTTTCAACAATATTTTTCATTGAATAACTTATCTTTCTTCTGAGTAATTCGGTTTTTAACTCTGGGAATATTTTGTTACGCAAATCAGGTACAATTTTATTTACTATTTATAGTAGGCATATTTTGCACGAAATTAACTCCCACGATAAGTACTTTTTATTAGGATTTAAAAAAAAAGCAAAAACACAAAAATTAATATTCTACGGTTCGATTTTTGACTGAAAACTAAATTCAAGGATTTCACTTCAATAAACTTGGGTTAAGTGTAAACAAGGCTTGCATGTAAGAAATTTGTAAAATTTTGTTTTATTTTAAGTATTTAACAACATAGTTTTGTCTAATTTTTCTCAACGTAGGTTTTGTTATACATCAAAGTAGTAAGAACTATTTCAAGCCTGTTGAGGTCTCAACATTATTTTACAATCATTGAAAGATTTAAATTGCCTGATTGAAGACACACAAAGAAGGTAATGGTACGATGATATATGTAAAATAATTAAGAATTCAGATGACCATTTTAATATCAAAACAGGAAAAGGAATTGTATTGAATTATATTCACGAATTTTATTGTTTTAGGATTTTTCTTGAATGAACCTTTTTCTCATAATATTTATATGGACCAAGCTTGAAATATTATCATTACAAATTTAATTCACTCTTCCTACTTGAAAATTCTTTAAGAAAACCTTTTTGAACCACTATTTATTATAATTTTGATGATATTTTTCATGTTGTTCATGTAAGTTTTTAAATATTTCATTACTTTTCGAAAAGGAAAAGAATTGTAAGGGTTAGTAGAATATTCTTTTTCATATAATTTAGCCTCTCAGGCTTTGAGATTTTTTTTTCTCCTGTACTCTGCACAGGAGTTAGAGTCGAGAATAAGCCCTCCATTTTGCTCGTAGAAAAGAAATACGCCTAATATCTTCAGACGATTTACGAACTTTTTCCTAATCCCCCAAGTACTACCTGCTTCTGACTGATCTCGGCCAGATGAGTTTGCCCGGTCTGTGGGCTGTACACAACGATATTAAACGACTGCCCCTTCCTCACCCAATGTAAATAAATTTCGTTAACGAAAAATAGGACAGTTTTTTTCCTCTTTTTATGTCGACAGATTTTTTAAATCAACAGCTAAAACTTACTTTCCAAAGGATTGTTTTATATTCACTTATTATCATAATTGAATAACTTAGAAGCCTGAAAGATTATTACATTCATGATTA